GGGTCACCTTCACATGTTCAGGGCAGATGCAGGTTCCTGCTGGTCTGCAGAGCTCAGATCAGCAGAGACGCACGTCGAACGTCTGACTACAGCTCGTTGGAGGTCAAGGGGGCAGTGAGCACAGAGGAGAAGCACCGGGAAGTAAGGGCAGGAACCACGACTCCTCTCCTGGCCCCGGAGTGTGGGTTCATTTCCGTCACTGCCCCCATCACTACTTCTCTTTTTCTTGCAGCAGCGTCCACCCCACCTCCTGGGAACTAGTCACTGAGTCCTTGCCTCCTCGGTGCCCCGTTTTCCTGAGACAGCTTCCTTCCTCATCCTGCCGTTTTATCCTAAAACTTGTGAAACGGTGATTTGAGTCGCAGCTCTGGCTTGTTGAAGAAAATTGATTTTTGTTTAAATATTTGTCTCCCACCTGTATGAATTGAGCAATAATATCATAATTAGATTTTCTCCCATTAAAAAAATTTGTTTTGCATCCAAGTTTATTTGGGAGACTGAAGTGTGATTTTTCCTCTCTTGAAATTCCTTGTCAGGTTGTCATGGTGGCCTGTGAAAATGTGTGGTAATGTGTTTGCTCTAGAAAATTCTCCATAAGACAAGCTTTTGATCTTCTGTGTTTGGAAAAGCTCACCAGGGAAACCTGCCAGAGCTGGAAAGAGTTTTTTTAAATACTTTCATTGTCCTTTAATGCATTTCTCCATCCAGACACAGACACACACGAAAAAATTACATGAAAATATTTTTTTCTGTGTTTTGATTTCTTGCCAGAGCATTGATTGACTCTTGGTAGGTTAGGATTTCTATTTTTTTTCAGCATTTTGAAAATTGAGTTATAGTCACTTTACAATGTTGTGTCAGTTTCTGGTGTACAGCACAAGTTTTCAGTCATACATGAACATACATACATTCATTCTCATACTCTTTTTCACTGTAAGTTACTACAAGATCTTGAATATAGTTCCCTGTGCTATACAGTATAAACTTGTTTATCTATTTTATATACACTATCACTATGTACAAATCTTGAACTCCCAGTTTATCCCTTCCCACCCCCTTCCTCCTGGCAACGACAAGTTTGTATTCTCTGTCTATGAGTCTGTTTCTGCTTTATATATAGGTTCATTTGTCTTCTTTTTTTTTTTAAGATTCGTCATATGAGTGATGTCACATGGTATTTTTCTTTCTCTTTCTGGCTTACTTCACTTAGAATGACTTCCTCCAGGGACATCCATGTTGCTGCAAATAGAATTATGTTGTCATTTTATGGCTGAGTAGTATTCCATTGTATAAATATACCACATCTTCTTTATCCAGTCATCTGTCAATGGACATTTAGGCTGTTTCCATGTCTCGGCTGTTGTAAATAGGGCTGCTGTGAACATTGGGCTGCAGGTGTCTTTCTGAATTAGAGTTTCCTCTGGATATATGCCCAGGAGCAGGATTCCTGGGTCATACGGTAAGTCTATTCCTAGTCTTTTGAGGAATCTCCATACTGTTTTCCACAGTGGCTGCACCAAAGTGCTTTCTGTGGGATGATGTTAATATTCAGATGTAATTTATTTAATACGTCAAAGACAGTTCAGGTTTTCTGTTTATTCTTGAGCTTGTTTTGGAAAAAAATTTGGATGGACATTAGTCGAGTTCATCGAAATTGGGTAACGTTCTTCATAAGGTCCACTTATATCTATTGTGACACGATTTCAGTCTAAAATGGTACCAGAGGGTATGAAATGGAGAATCTTATGCATTCATCGTTCAGAAGCAAACTTACGGACCGAGAGACTGATTTCCTGTAAGTGCCTGACTTGCAGAAAGCTGACACTTGTCCCTGGACCGGGGAATGTCCAGGAAGAGTCTCTGCCCGTCCCCAGCCAAGGAACTTGCTGCTGGGACTGTAGCTGAACTGGCCTCCTTTGCACTCCTTCCCCGTAAGCACACTCCCCCGAGCCGTCTCGGGACGTACCTGTAGCTTGCTACAGTTTGCACGTTTTGAGCTGCAATTTGTCTACTATTCCTGAATGAACTCATTTTTGTGGGATTTTGAGCCTGTCTCAGTTTACCTCTCGTGTTTTGGGTGACGCTGTAAAAGTCTGTGGGATCCTTGTGAGGCCCCATTTTTCATTATTGATTTGGGTTACCTGGGCCTCACCTGTCCTGCTTCAGTGTTGTTGGGACTTTGTACATTTTAAGAATATTTAATAATAAATATTTTTGCTCTGTTGATGTTGTGTACTGAATGCGTGTGTCCCCCAAATTAATACATTACAGCCCTAACCCCAGTTTGTCTGTATTTGGAAGTGAGGCTTCTAAGAAAGAAATAGAGATTTTAAAAGGCTGTAAGTGCCATTCTTGCTCAATAAGACTGTGTCCTTCCAAGAGGAGGAGGCAGCGGACTCGCTGTCTGTCTCCCTCCGCGCTCTCACACTGAGGAAGGCCGTGTGAGCGACACAGGAAGAAGGGCCCCCATGACCCCGGGGGGCCCCCATCTGTGCCGACCCTCCTGGCACCTTGTGTGGGACTTCCAGTCTCCAGAACTATGAGAAAGGGAATTCCTGGGGCTTAAACCGCCCAGCCTGTGATGTTTTGTCACAGATGCCTGAGCAGACCGGCACAGATTTTAGTCCCAGGAAGTGTGGTGCTGCCGTAACAGCTACCTGATGTGTGGGAGCAGCTTTGGAACTGGTAGTGGGGGGGTGGGGTTGAGGTGTGTGCTGGAAACATGAGTGGACCGTGGGTAGCCATATGGACCTGAAAAGTGATGCTGGTGGGAGCTCAGACAGACGAGGAGGTGGGGAGAAAGCCTCCATCTTCTGAGAGAATACGCGTTAACCATGAGCAGAATGTTGGTAGAAATAAGGATGGTCAAGTCCCTTCGGGCAGAGCCTCAGACAGAAACAAAGAGCAAGTTGCACTGCACGTTGGAGATAAGTGATCTTGTTATAAAGCGGCCGAGAGCTTGGCTGAACTGTGCTCTCATGTTTGGAGAAGGTAGAACTTCCGAGCCATGAAATTGCATATTTAGCTGAAGAGGTTCCGACACAGAATGTTCATGTGTGGCCCGGGTCGTCCTGTGCTGACAGGGTTCCAAAGGGGAGAGGTGAATGGAAGGATGGCCTGTTAAGCAGACGGACCCAGAACTGAAAGATGGGTGGCAGTTTTCTCTGTGCTGGAACACACACCACAGCGTGCTCGCAGGAGAGTGCCAGGCTGTGGGCCGCCTGCTAGTTGGCAAAGAGGTTAAGGGTCACAGGAGCAGAAGCACTGCCAGTTTGCCGTGAAGGGGCGGGAAGAGGGCAAAGTGAGAGAAAACCATCAGGCCCTTTGCAAGGAAAGGGGAGGATGACCCAAAGACAATTCAGAGATCACCAGGGCTGCCTCCTTGGTTTCAGCAGGGCACGTGGCCTCTGCCCAAAGCCTTGGGAGGGGGCCCTCACAGACAGACAAAGGGGCTGATCTGCCACACACCCCTCCCCACCATCGAGCCGTGGAGGTGATGCTGCTGCCCCAGAGGACCTGATGGCAAAGCATCCAAGCAAAGAGGATTGTTCTGGAGCCTTAAGGTCCAATGGAAGCCGACTTGATAGATGGTGTGCGTGCTTGGAACCCTCTCTCTCCCTGTGGGCATGGGACTCTGTCTCCTAGGCCTGCCCCAGCATTGCATTTTGGAAGCACACAGTTTGCCTGGATCACCGGTTCACAGCTGCAGACGAATTCTGCCTCAGAGTGAATCTTACCCTGAGTCTCACCCATGTCTGGTGTGGCTGACTTGGAGATGTGACTTGGGATTTTAGATTTGATCGTTGGTTCTTGAATGAGTGGAGATTTGGGGGACAGTGAGGATGGAATGAATGTGTATTTCACATGGGAGAAAGTCATGAATTCAGAGGGCTTAGGGGTGGAATATTGTGGACTGATTGTTGGAGCCCCTTAAAAATTCTACTGAAGCCTTAACCACCCCCCAATATGGCTAAATTTGGAGATGGGGCCTCTAAGAAAGTAGTGAAAATTAAATGATATCATAAAGGTGGAGCCCTGGTCAGATAGGGTTAGTGGCCTTATAAGAAGAGACACCAGAGCTCTCTCTCTTCCTGCACACACACGCGCACACACCCACACCAAGCTAGGGTCACGTGGACACAGCGAGAAGTCAGTTGTTCAC